CTTCATGCTATCAGTATACCCTACCTCTTGATTTTTTAGTGTTTTTTGGCTTGTTTAAACATGCAACTGTGGAAAGATGTCCACAGCCATCATATAGAGGTTTTTGTGTGAATATAAATATTCATTTCTCTAGAATAAATGTTCGGGGGGCAATTGTTTGTCAGCGTTAGAAACAAAACAAAAACATTCAGTTTCCAAGAGTGGCTGTACTATTTTACATCCCATCAGCAAAGAGTAAGTGACCTAGTACTCTGCGTCCTCATCAGCGTTTGTCTCCTTGGTCGTTGGCATTGTTGTAATAGTTGTTTTATTTTGCTGTGTGGTACAGGCTGACCTTGCACTGACTGCAGCCCAGGCCAGCCTCAGACTCACAGTGATCCTTCTGGCCCAGCCTTCCAATTGCTGGCATTATAGGCATGCACTGCCACACAGCTCTGTTTTTTAAATATGCTTTTATTAGTGCTTATTTTATAAAATACTGGATTTCAGGGTGCTATGTTCATATACATATTCCCATCACCTTTCCTCTCACTTTGTTCTCCATCTCCCTTACTCCTTCCTCTTGTCAAACAACAATCTCCTTTCTGCTTTCGTGTCATTACTGTAGAGTTCACGTAGTAAGGAAGACATGTGACACTTTTTTTCTGAAATCTTCCTTATTTTGCTTAACGTGATCTCCAGTTCCATCCAAATGTCATAATTTGGTTTTTATAGGTGAGTGATACTCTATTGTACATATGTATATCTCAGTTCCTTTTTAATAGTTAAAATATTTTCTATTTTATTCATAGCTTTATGTTAAAAATAATTTCTTTAAAAGATATTATACTTTATAAAAAACAATAATTTAGAAATGCATATTTACATATTTAGGAAAATACACCACCTGAGATTTGCATCAAAATTATCTGAGAGTGCAGGGGGTCTAGCTAAGTGGCACAGGTACCTGCCCAGCAGGCGTGAGGTCATGAGTTCTATCCCTAGTGCCCAAAAAAACCAAAATTATCTGAGAATAAGGGGATGAGTAGAGTTATTATTGCTATAATATTAGATATGGGAGAACTGGGGATGTAGACCACAGATAGAAACTTGCCTGTAGAGTTACTGGATTCAATCCTCAGTGCTGCCAAAAAAAATTAACTACGAGTTGGTAATTGTTGAAACTGAGCCTTTTTCCTTTCATATATAGTTTTATAAAAACCATGTTTTTCATTTTAAAACTTAAAAAATAAGGACCAGTTTTCACTTAAGTGACTAGAAAACATTTTAGAAACTGGTAATTTGAAGTGTAGGCAAAAATACGGAAAAGTGAGAACTTACAATTTGTAGGAACACAAATTTCTCGAACTATTTTGAAAGTGACTTTGACATCTTACAGTAAAACTGAAGATTTGCATCCTTTATTACCTCACTAGAAACCACATTTATTTATCAATATATGTTGACAGTTTGTATCCATTTATCTGTTGATGGAACATAAGCTGGTTCCATATCTTGACTGTCATGAATTGTGCCAAAAAAAAAAAAAACACTTTGGTATGCTGATATCCCTGTAATATCGTATGCAGTATGCTGTCTTTCAGCTGTTTTGGATATATACCAAGGAGTAGTATAGCAGAGTCATATGGTAGTTTAATTTTTAGGTTTTTTAAGAACATCCATACTGATTTCCATACTAGTTTACATTCCCTTCACAGTGTAAAAGCGTTCTTTGCCCTACCACCCCCAAACACTTGCCAGTATTTGTTGATGATAGGCATTTTTACAAGTTTGATTTATATTTCCCTAATGACTAAAGATGTTGAACATACTTTCATATATCCATAGGCTGTTTGTATTTCTTCTAAGAATTGTCTTTCGGTTATTTACCAGTTTATTAATTGAGCTCTTTATATTTTTGAATTCTTCATGTGTTCTAAATAGTATATGTCAAAAGAGTAGACAGCAGACAGCAGAGGTTTTTCTCATTCTCTAGGTTCTCTTCACTCTGTTGGTTTTTTTCTCTTTTTTTTTTTTTTTTTTTTTTGTATTTTTTTTTTTATCAGTACGGGGGATCGAACTCACAACTGTCTGCTTGCAAGGCAGGCGCCTATGTCGCTGAGCTAAATCCCCTGCCCCAGTTTTTTTCTCTTGCTATATAAAAACTTTAATTTCATATAATCCCATTTATTGATTCTTAATATTATTGGTTTGGGAAGTCTTTGCCTCTGGCCATGGATTTACATATCTCCCATGTTTTCTTCTAACACTTTCAAAGATTCAGGTCTCATACCTAAGTATTTGATCCATATTGATTTGATTTTGTATAGAGTGAAATAAGAATTTAGTTTCAATCTTCTACAAGTTTTCCCAACACTTACTTGGTTAAGAGGGCCATCTTTTCTCCAGTATGTCTTGGCTCCTTTGTTTTGGCTCTTTTGACAAGATTCAAATGGCTGAGGTTGTATGGGATTGTTTCTGTGTCCTTGTTCTAGTTCATTGGTCTGTGTACCTATTTTTGTGCCAGTACCATACTTTTTTTTTTTTATGGCTTTGTATATAATTTGAAATCGGGTATTGTGATGCCAACAGCCTTAGTTTTTCCCCCCTACGACTGACACAGATCTTTTATGTTTGAGAATTTTTTTTTAAGTCATGAAGAATGTCATTGGAATTTTGATGAGTGTTGCATTGAATTTACGGATTTTTTTAATATAGCCAATTTTAAAATATTCTGTCAGTCCATGAATAGTGAAGGTCTTTCCATCTTCTAGTGTTTGTAATTTCTTTCTTTTTGTAATTTTCACTGCACATTGCTTTTACTTGTTTCATTAAGTTGACTCCAGTGTATTCTTTTTAAGCTATTGTGAATGGCATTGTTTTTCTAACTTGTTTCTCAGCTAATTCATTGTTGTATAGAAAAATACTGATTTGTGCACTTTTTATTACCCATTCTCATATAAGTGTTGAGATGTCTCATTGTTGATTTAATTTTAATTTCTCTAATGCTTTATGATAAATATCTTTTTATGTGCTTATTTGCTGTCTGTATATCATTTCTTATGAGTGCATATTTGCAGTATATAATAATTACATTTATTGTAGAGGGTTGGTACATATACATAACACATCTGAATTATTTTCTTACCATTCCACTTCTGTTTCTCCCCTGTCTCCCTTTGTTGCCTTTCCCATTTGCAAACAATCTTAACTCCCTGTTTACTATTATCTTTTGGTATTTTTCTCTTTAAATTATTTATACTTTGGGTTTCTCATGTAAGAGAAACCATGCAGTATTTAAGTTTGTGTATGTGATTTACTTTACGTGCAACTTGAGACAATAATCTTTAAGTATATATCCTTTGGTAATATGCCCATTAACATCTTTTGTCCATTTCCTATTTGGACTCTTTAACTTGAGTTTTCAGAGTTCTTTATGTATTAGATACTAAATCTTTGTTGGATATGTTTTGAAATAGTTCTTTCAGTCTGTGACTTGTCTTTTCATCTTTTTTTATAAGGATCACCTAGGGAACAAAAGTTTGACATGGTTCATTTTTTTATTTTTTCCTCTTACGTATTATGCTTGATGCCAAATTTAAGCCCCTTTGCCAAAACCCAGATCCTGAAGACTTTTCCAGGTTTTACAGCTTTCTGTTTTTAGGGTTAAGTTTTATTTAAGGGAAAATATAAGATTGAAATTGAGATTTCTTTTTGCTTGTGAATGATCAGTTGTTCCAGCACCATCTCCTTCCAAAACCTAGTCTTCTGATAATTGACTTGCTTTTGCACTAAACTTTGGAAATCAGATGCATATACTTGTGAGCCTCTATTTCTTGGATTTACAAAAATATTTTTATATGTTTATATGTGTGTATATGGATATTTTAGAAGATTTGATAAAAGAAGGAAGTGAAAAATCAGTGAAGACTTACTTATTAAAGGTAAGGTCCATTGTGTTTCAAATAGTTGGTGACATCTGGAAGGTTACAGTGGGCTGGTTAGGTAGTGCTTGCTTAGATCCTAGTTGCTCAAGATCCTAGCTTCAATCCAGCTGAAAGGCTTTGGGGATTGAAAGGAGCAGTCTATCATAAACACTTTCTGTGTCATTAATTTAAGGATCTTTAGTGTTCTAAATATTTTTATATGTTTATATGTGTGTATATGGATATTTTAGAAGATTTGATAAAAGAAGGAAGTGAAAAATCAGTGAAGACTTACTTATTAAAGGTAAGGTCCATTGTGTTTCAAATAGTTGGTGACATCTGGAAGGTTACAGTGGGCTGGTTAGGTAGTGCTTGCTTAGATCCTAGTTGCTCAAGATCCTAGCTTCAATCCAGCTGAAAGGCTTTGGGGATTGAAAGGAGCAGTCTATCATAAACACTTTCTGTGTCATTAATTTAAGGATCTTTAGTGTTCTGTGGTGTGGCATCCTTTTGCTGTGTAAGATTTGTTTTGTTATTTACTCTCTGGTTAATGTCCTTGCTAGGTGAATAAACTAATAGGTTAAAAGTTTTGGGTACTTTTCAGATTCTTGGGATTTTATTGCTCCATTGCTTCTCAAGGGGTTTTACCCCATACATTTTTACTATTGTATGCTTTAAATTTACTAGCACTTAATCTCTTAGAATTTCCCTAAATGCTGTTTTTAATATGAATTTTCAGATTACTCAGTAATTCCTTGCTGGCTTTAGTTTGAATTTGGTTGTATGAAAATCATGAAAACTTTAAATGAGTGTAGTCTAGATAAAATTGTCTTCAGATAGCATTTATTCATATAACAAATGTAATTTGAATTTTATAAGGTAATTTATTACAATTATCGTTTGTTGCTTTTATTTTAAAAAAAAAAATTCCAGGTCAGTTGTATAGCTCGAGTAGAGTGCTTAACTGCCATGTGGGAGGCCTTGAATGTGACACCAAGCACTACTTCCCCCTCTAAAAAGTTCCATTTTGATTATTTAGTTCATTTTATGTTTATATTGTGGTTGTAATGTAAATGTTTCATTTTTCTCAAACAGAAAGCAATAGATCTTGCTAACAAAGCAGCACAAGAAGACAAAGCTGGGAATTATGAGGAAGCCCTTCAACTCTACCAACATGCTGTACAGTATTTTCTTCATGTAGTTAAATGTAAGATCTTGGTTTTTTGTTTTTCTTTTTTGTTTTTTTGTTTTTTTGTTTTACCTAACACTGCAAAATAAAATTCTTCTATTTTTATTTATGAGATTTGATTGGAATATAAAACCAGATTCTAAACCATCTTTAGCCAAAAAAACTCATTCTACTTGAAGTACTCAAATGTACCTAATGAATGTAACAATTATTATTAGTTTGTATTTCCATACATCTTAAAATGTCAATGCAAACAACTCTTTTATTTTAATGATAATATACCAAAGTATGTAATATAAACTTGTTTCCAAAGCATGTGTTTGAAAATAGATTGGGAAGCATATTATTATTGTATTTTACAAATACATATTGCATATTCTTCATGTGCCAGGCACTATTTTGGGCACTGGGAATTTGACAATGAGAAGAACAAATGAGAACCTCTTGTCTTTATAATTTTACACTGAATGCAGTTAGATAATTTAAGGCTTTTCAGTATTCCTTGTTTAATCATGAGGGTTTGTGTGAATTAAGGTGAAACTAACAATGTATCGTAACCAAAGATACATGAGGCTAATCATATTTTTGTTCTTGTTTGTCTTTTTGAGACTGGGTCTTCCTTTGTAGTGCAGGCTGGCCTTGGGCTCAGTTTGTAGCCCAGGGTGGTCTCAAATTTGCAAAGATCCTCCTACCTCAAGCTCTACAGTGCTGGGATCACAGGAGTGCTCCACCATTCCCAGCTTCCATGCATTTTATATATTGCTAAGCCTACTATTAAAAGTAGCCCTGACAATGGCCTTTATTTAGTACAATTATTATGTTAGTGGTTCACATCTGTAAGATTTCCTTATCTTTATATGCTCTTTGAAATAAAGCTTATATAGCTAATAATGGAAATGGTTATTACCGCTTTACTTTTATTTAGCTTTTTATATTTTATTTTTAATGAACACATTTTGTACATATTAAAGGAATTCATTGTAATATTTCAACACATTCTATTGTACAACTTTCCTTTATCTACTTCTGTCCTTTCTCCATCTCTGGTAATCACTGTTCTACAATCCAGTTGTTTGTCTTATGATTGGTTTTGTATAAACGAGATTTCAGATATGAGAGCAGAACATGAAACATAAAGAATATTAAATAGTTTCTTATTATTTAATGTTAACTTAAAATGCTCTGCTATCTTGTGAGATCTCTTGTGACCCACATTCACCATTGGTCTCCAAGCCTGTGAAGAAAGGAATAAAGAGTTGATAGCCATTGATTACAATGAGTTAGAGATCATCTTTATTCCCTCTGCCAACATAAAATTTCCACGGTTAAAAGACTACATCTACATTTAAATTTTTCTCTATCAGATACTAAGTGAAAAAATCTCTCCCATTTACTTCCAACAGATGAAGCACAGGGTGATAAAGCCAAGCAAAGTATCAGAGTAAAGTGTACAGAATATCTTGATAGAGCAGAAAAACTAAAGGAATATCTGAAGAAAAGAGAGAAAACTCCACAAAAGCCAGTGAAAGAGGGACAGCCAAGTCCAGCTGATGAAAAGGGGTATGTATTAAAAATAGTAGATTTTGTTTCAACTTTTCATTTATGAAGTAGGTTTATTTTGTTTGAATGAGGTATTGGTAAACCATGGTTAATGGGCCAACACAGACCTACTGCCTGTTTTTGTTAATGTATTTTACTGGGAAATATGTTCACCCATTTGTTTATGTGTCATCATACAAGGTTCATTGCATCCTGTTATAACAGAGTTGAACGTTTGCAGTAGAATCTGAACAGCCACAAAACCTGAAATATTTTACTGTGTGGTCCTTGACAAACAAAAGTTTGCACCCCTGGTTTATATGGGTTAGGGAATGATGTGCCCAAAAGAAACCTCCAGAGCTTCTTTCTGTTAGGGAAGATATGCATAGGAGTAGCACTGAGCCTCTGACCATCATGTAATATCAAGGTTTAAATTATAAGAGTGATCCACAAATTAAAATATAGACAAAAAATAATGCCAATAATGCAAGTAATTTTTTAGATGTGGAGGGTTTTTTGATGTGGATTTGCATTCCATATATTTTATGTTGTCAAAAAACAACATGTCATGATTTTAAAAGTTAAAACCCATTTTTGGAATGTGTTCCCTCGTGGATGTTATATTATATTACAGATGCAGAATTCTCTTATTTGATATGTAATATGCATGCCCAGCTCTGTACGAAACAGGGGGAACATACTCTACCAAGATCCTCTTTGACCTTTCTACTAACTGGTGCCACGAAGGGTTCCAGGTGAAACAATGTTAAGAAAATAGGACTCCATGGTGGGATAATCTTGTCCTTGTTGGGTTTCAAAGCAGTGAGGTGTTCATGGGCTTTAGAGTGTCATGCAGTTCATGCTCCTCAGTAGTGCAAGTTCCCTAGATAATCCCCTGTGGTCATGAAGAATGAAGTACCTTTTAGGCAATACTTTAGGGGATTTGTGGCTACTACCATAAACTATTTTGAAGGACATAAGGAATATAAGAATTAGAGTTGACTAGTTGCATCATGATAGGGTTCGAAGAAAATTATAAGCTTCAAGTTTTATATTATCTGTTCAAAATACAGTGAGAGAACTAGAGTTTGCTGTGATACCCTAAGAATATTTTATCTTTTGCATGTACAGCATTGACATAAAAAACTCAGCTCATACTTCTATCTTACAGATTACTGAATTTCAACTTTCGGGTTTCTTGTATGTAATGACATGTAGTGTAAGACAGGAATACCCAACATGGAATGAATTCAGTTGACCTCTGTGCCCAGGGCCCCCAGTTCTGTCTGGACCTCTGGTGAAACTTGTTCACCAGCAGAAATACCCTGTCTTCCCCATCTGTTGAGGCTGTTCCAGTCTTGCTAAAGAAATCTGTAATCATCTCACCTATGGTGGCTGCCTTCAAAGGGATAGTAGTTTTTTTCTTGTTATGAATAACAATCGTAGTGACAACCAGCAGGATTCATTTTGGCTGGAGCAAAAAAGGAATTTCTTTATAGTATAGTACAGAATTTTATAGTATAGTACAGAATTTTAAGGCCAGAGAGTCAATCTTAAATTCCATATATCCTGGAGGACAGTCAGTTGTGAATTCATTCATACACTATAGAGGTGTATCAGGCAGGGATCTTGCTGCTCTCACTCCCCTCTGAGCTGTTCTCATGGGAGCACACACAGAAAGACTAATGTCTCTGCTCCTGCACCAAAACAGTGGTTTCCCTTAGAAGATTTGATCTTTATGCAAGCTTCCCTCACCTCAGAGGAACTGAACTCATGAAACCATCCTGGAAGGGGACCTACACAGGTTAGGAGGTTTTGTGGTGGTTCTTTGTTTAAATAATAAACTGTTTCAATGCAAGAAAGCATGCTAGAAGGAGCAAGTGTCAAGTGAAACATTTTCACTGCCATCCTATATCATCTATAACTCTGCCATCCTGCTGACCTTGGCATTCTCATTTTGGCATAAAACCTGTTGTGCTTTTATCCCCATTTATATTTTGGACCTTGGTGTTTTTATTTTATTGGGTTTTTTTTTTCTTGTAACTGTTCTGTAATTCATCTTAAATCATTCATTGAACTATGCATAGGCATACATTTATTAATTCATACATGCATAGAGTATATCATAGGAATTTGAAGGTAGCTCTTGACTTCTTCCTGACCTTTTTGTTCCTTTTATTCATGATCCCCTATAGGTTGATATATTTGCTTCTCATTTAAAATTTTAAGAATATAAGCATAACTTTTAATGTGAATGTTTTCTTTTGTCATTTAAATTACAAGTATTTCAGGTTGTCTTCCTTCATTTTTGCATTATTTGATAGCATTATTTGAATGCTATTAAATATGTTAAATTCTTTTTATTAGGAATGACAGTGATGGGGAAGGAGAATCTGATGATCCTGAAAAAAAGAAACTACAGAATCAACTTCAAGGTTGCTTTAGATTTCATTTTTAAGTTTACTATCTTATTGAAAAGACTCATCTTGAATTGTCTGACTTAAATTGTTTCTTTCCTTCTGTATTTAAACAGAATTCTAGAACTGGCTGTGGTTGCCAGTGATCATATACTGGCTTTGCTTAGAGCATTTTCACAGAATTTGCCCCTCACAGTTTTTAATAGTTTCGTTTCTTTCATGGAGTAATTATATTGTTATTTCTGCCTTTAAAAAGTTGCTGGTTTATTCTTTTCAGTTTATTTGCCCTCTGAAAGCTGATAGCGTTTATGCTGTTAGCACAGGACAAAAACCTGACAGTATTAAAATTTTTTGTCAGAGTAGTACAATGATTTAGAAATTACGTTTAGTACCATTGCTGTGACTGATCCATTGTTGGTTTATTTCATGTTTTTTATCTGTTCTCTCTCATCTCCTTTTCAGTGCTCCTTCCCATTTACATGTTCCTCTGTCTCTCTTTAGGCTGTCTTGTTTTTACTTTTCTGTAAAAGCCCATAAATTGGCATGATAAAGACAGTGTAGATTTAGGTCTGAATTCCACTCCAATATCTATCTTTTAAAAGCTCTCTAGGGCTGTGGAAGTTCCCCTAATCTCAGAGTCTGAGTCCCATCTCTAAAATGGAAATTTATAATATCCTTTCAGGAATTAATGATAGTTAAATAACTTATTTATATTAGATCTGAAAAATTCTAAGAACTTGATAAATGGTATCTCTGGGTGTATAAAACATCAATTGCTGACTTCTTTAATTGCTGAGATGTGATTGTTCTTTGAGATGTTAGCTAATAATTTTTTGAATCTAGCCAAATAAAATGCTGAATAGAAATTATTTTCATTATGTAACCTTGGCTCCCGAATAATAAACATACCTAGTTTAACCAGACCTTTAACCTTGCTATAGCAGTCTTTATTTTGGTAATATTTCTGTTTTACTCACTGAGCTGTGATGTATGCTTAAAACATTTAAATGAGGAAATTTATTTGGAATTTTAGGATAAAGAACAATATGAAATGAACTGTAGGCTTTCATAACTCATGGAATAATTATATTGTTATTTCTGCCTTTAATCTTTAATCATTTACTTCTTTCCATCTTTTCCATCTTTAATCATTTGCTAATGGATTTCACAATATAATACCTTTTTTTAGTCTTTTTTTCCTGAAATATTTTAAAACTTCTGTTTTAGATTATGGCATTAATTATACCATGATTATTAGAATTAAAGTGAATGTATAATTTGGATTTTTTAGTGATATAGATAATTTAGTGACTTTTGAGGGTAGTGTTTTAATGTCATACATGGTATAATCAAAGACCTGATGAAAATATATAATTAAAAATACATTTAATTATTTGTTCATATTGTTCCATACTCCTATCTTTTTAGTTTTACAGACCATTAAGTAATACCAAGTATTTAACCTTTGATTTGTAAACACTCCAAAGTCACCTTTAAACTTTAAGGAGAAAGATACTAGTCACACATGAAAATCAATTTTGCATACTTTTTAAATTACCTAAAAATGCTGGGGATTTAGCTCAGCAGCATAAGCACCTGCCTTGCAAGCAGGCGGTCGTGAGTTCAATTCCCGGTACCAATAAAAAAGAAAAAGACAAAAAAAAAAAAAAAAAAAAAATCTTGAGTTAGCCAAATGGTACACATATGTAGATTTCTTTTTATTAGATATGAAATTCTATCAAGTAATAGAGATTTTTTTTTCCTGTAGGATTATTAATCTTTGTTCATTGGTATGGTTTCATTTGGCTTGGCTTGGATTGATTTGGTTTGGTTTGGTAGTACTACAGATTGAACACAAGGCCTTCACCCTAAGCTATATCCCAGCCCTTTATAAAAGAACAATTTTTTTTTTTTTTTTTTTTTTTTGAGACAAGGTCTCACTTAAGTTATCCAGGCTGGCCACTAGCTTGTACTCCTCCTACTTTGACATCCTGAATAACTGGAATAACAGATGTATAGCACTACGCCCAGCAGAATTACTAATCTTAATGGAACATAAAAAAAGAAAAATTGCCCTTTCTATTTGTACTAATCTGAAGGATTAGGATGTAGAAATGATGGTTACATTTAATTTTAGTCTCATAACTTCATGATTTACGAAGTAAGCCATTGAGTATAATTAGGATGATAGGTGATATTTCCTAATCAGAAAAAAATGACTTATAAAACTAAAACCTTAACTAGTAAATTGTGTAATGGTATTTTATTATTAAAACAACTGTGTATCATGTTAAAACATGCTGCTTCATTGTTTATAGTTAAGCAATTTATATACACTAGTAAAGTGGAAAATTAACTTCAGTAATTTGTAAAAATTATAACTAAAGGTATATTTAGTATTAAGCAAAGTAAAAAATCTCAGGAAAGTGTTGCAGATCTCTAAGGATATACATTGTCTTACATGTCCTTTACTTCTACTTTCATTTCTATATCTTTTTTTTTTCATCTTTCCTCACTTCCGTTTATCCTTAGTTAAAGTTAGGAAGCATATTTTCTCTCTGCAGTTGAAGAAAGCATTAGATCACCTTTGCTTTTGGTTCACAGAAAAGTAAATCAACCTCCTTTAAACAAATATGCTTGATTCTCTAATACAGTGTTTCAACTATTATAACCTCTTAATATTAAACAGTGTTTGGTGCTTTTCCAAGCACTCTAATATTATGGCATTTGACCTTGATACTAAGTAGTTTGGGCAGATGATACTATTTTTCCTTTCACAAATGAAAAGGTTAAAAAAAAGGAGAAAGTAGGAACTTGCCTTCTGACTGCTCTCAGCACTACTACTTCATCATACCATTTCAGAAAGGTTTAGTACACAGAACTTTTCCAGACAACTTTCTAAGGCATTTCTTTTACCCTTAGTATTTCATATTGTTTTACAAGTTTGAGAAAATAGTCTTCCATAATTTAAAGATGACATACTTTTTGTAGGTGCCATTGTTATCGAGCGACCAAACGTGAAATGGAGTGATGTTGCCGGTCTCGAAGGAGCCAAAGAAGCTCTTAAAGAGGCTGTGATTTTGCCCATTAAATTTCCCCATCTTTTTACAGGTGAGATGCCTTTCAAGTAATTTTATTTAATGATTCTTTTAAAACACATCAGTGGAGTAGTTAAAACATGAGTTCTTGTCACTGTATCATGAATTATCATAAATTCTGCCAGTTGGAAGTAATACATCTTTATACAGATGTTTTATTATTATATGTATCTGAATTTGCAATGCATTTGTTGCAAAACAACCTAAATATCAACCAGGAGGGCGTAAGGTAAATCAGTGTCAGGCGTGTGCAATGTACTCATTTAAGTGGAGTGTGTATTCATACTAATGAAATTCATTCTTCATTTTCATCTATTGAAGAATGCCCATACCTTTCATAAATATCAAAAACCAGGTTATAAAACACAGGATGATTCTGTGTTTGTTAATATATGTGTATGCCAAGAGTAAGGATAGATGGACTGACTTTAAAATGTTAATGTTTGCCTAGGAAATAAAAATGATCTTTACTTTTTGTTTTGACTTTCATATGAAATTTTTGCAGTGGGCATGCATTAGTTTTTTAAGAATATTTCCATTTCTTAGAAAGAGTAAGAATTATTTAACGGCTTCAGATGAAGTGCATATTCTCTAGGGACAAAGGGACAGCTGATTATCACTGTGGAGAGAATGTTGCTGACCTACCAGCAGGAGATAGCTCAAGTTCTAGTTCCAGCAGTAAGTGATTTGTCTGTGCCGAATCATTCCTTCACGTTGTCCTTTTTGTGAGTGATGGCCTGTGTCCATAATATGGCTACTCCCATGGTCTTAATAGTTAAGCATAGTTTTTCCTTTTGAAAAAACCTGGTTTATGTAAAGAGCATATCTGTGACATAGACCTCAAATCACATCCAGATAGTGTGTCACACAAAGCCATCAGGCAGAAAGTAAAGAGCCAGTGAGCCATGTGTTGGTCCACCTAGCTTCAGGTGTGACTTTTGGAAAGAATTTCAAAGTTGACATCATAATTCCTTAAAGGTACAAATACCTGATTGAACTCACATTATACATTACCAACATTTCTCAAACATGAATCATTTATCCTTTCCATGAAGTTTGTCATATATATGTATCTTTGTTGTTAAAATATTTTTCTTTAAATTGCTTACTTTTTGAAAGTGTTTTAATGAAGTAGATCATAAAGACTTCAGTATGCAGGAACTGAAAGTTTTCAACTTCCTTATTAGTTACTTGTGTACTAATCCCCCACATAAAGAAGGGTTGTATTAAGGTGGTATTACCAGTAGCCAAGCAATCGTCCTTTTGTCTTTCCTCCCCAGAGGTCATCTCTATATTGACTTGTAACAGAATAGATTATTTTTTCTATATTGGAATTTCAGATCATTCACTTTTACCTAGTAATGTTATTTTGAAAGACTGATTTCCATTTATTATAAATAGATGTTTTTCTAACATACATTTTAAAAAGATAATTGTTTAGACAAAAAGAATTTGAATACCACCTAGAAATATTCATGTGATACCAATAGTATATGTACCACCAGCAGTGGAAAACAGAATTATAATTGTGCACATATAAAAGAAAGATAGAATTAAGTAATAGTTGAGGTTTTCATAACAGTAACAATATTTAGTTTTGCCATTAGTCATCTGTATATCATTCCATTGCAGACACTATATCCATCTATAGTTTGTTCCTAGATGTTTTTTAACATACATTTGCAAGCTAAAACATATTCTGGTTTATTTTAGATAGCATTATAATTTCTCATTTGCATAATTGATGCCCAAAGAGTTCATTTGCTGCCTTGTTATATTTTAGAAAAACTAAGATTTAAAAGAGATCCCATTCATTACCAAACCACCCATTGAAACTGCAAACTATAATATTAACTTGTTGCTTCCGTGTGAATTAAGAACCTAGCAGTACTTCACAAATCATCCAAACTGCACATCCTAAAGAATCTGTGCTGCTTTTATGGTTAGTGTTGTTAAACTGGGCACACAACAGATCGTTAAAAAGTGTACTTTTAACTGAACTCTTTTTTTTCCTCATTAGACTATAAACTGGTCCAGGGCAAAGATCCTTTTGTTTTTCTGTCTAACGTATCATGGTTTTGATATACACTGGTTGAATGAATGAGTGAGCAAGCAAAAGAACTTATTAGGCTTGTATTTAAAGGCACTTTTAACAAAATAATCTCTAGAATTAACAAATAATACATTTAAGACATAAGTAGCTTAGTTTTTTTTTTCCTTTTTCTTTTTTTCCTTTACTTATGATAATGGTGATGGTATTTGGGATCTTTGCACCAAGCTACATCCCCAATTCCTTTTTATTGGTTCTTATTTTTGAGACAGGGTCTTGCCAAGTTATGAAATTGCCTGGATTGGGCTCAAACTTTCAGTCTTCCTTCTTCAACCTCCAGTGCCAAAATTATAAGCTTGTATCACCATGCCCAGATGTCTTATTTTTAAAATACCTTTTTATTCTATGATAGCTTTAGAGTAAAAACCTTCTCAGAGTATTCTTTAGTATGGATAATATCTATAGTAACGAAATGAACAGTCTTAGAAGTCTCATGTTATTTTTCTAATGCAAATTTTAGGCAAGAGGACACCTTGGAGAGGAATTCTATTGTTTGGGCCACCTGGAACAGGAAAATCCTATTTAGCCAAAGCTGTAGCAACAGAAGCGAACAACTCAACGTTTTTTTCAATATCCTCCTCTGACCTTGTTTCTAAGTGGCTCGGTGAAAGTGAGAAGTAAGTAGTAAATCTTCTGCTTTGTTTTGTTTTCTTCTGTGTACGGTAGCCACTGGATTAGCCTGAAAGTAATAGAGTTCTTATTTCGTTAGTACATGTTTAGAAAAGTGACATATGTACTTATTTCTCTATCAGATCAGTGTTTGGTTTGACATTTATTTTGTAGAACAATATATGTAACTGTAATCCTACAGGACATAATTTTTTATATTGTGACTTCCATATTTACATTTTTATAAAGCAGTAAATTATATAGCATTCTTATTTTGTGTACCTGAAATACTAGACTTTTTTTTAGAGACTGAAAGTTTTTATTTCTTTTTAGACTTGTTAAGAATTTATTTCAGCTTGCCAGGGAAAACAAGCCTTCCATTATCTTCATTGATGAAATTGATTCTCTGTGTGGTTCAAGAAGTGAAAATGAAAGTGAAGCTGCGCGCAGAATTAAAACAGAGTTTCTTGTGCAAATGCAAGGTGGTATTACTCATTTTTAAAAATGGTCTTTGTTATATAACCCTATTATAACAATAGTGGAAAATATTTAAGCAGAATTTCTCTTAACAAATTTGCTAATTCATTATGCAGTAGTTCATTTTGATTGTTTTCATACGCATGCAGAATGTAGCAGTCATTATCTTGTAGGATATACTGATAACAAATAGTGAAGAGATTAATGTAACCAGTTGGAGCCAGATGTGGTGGTACACATCTGTAACCCCAGCACTGTGAGAGGCAGAGGCAAGAGAATTGCAAGTTTGTTTGTACCCATAGTGGGCAGTTTAATCACTTAGCCAGATCTTATCTCAAAGCGCAGAAGGTGAAAAAGGTCTTAGAGATATAGCTTAGTGCTAAGGCCCTGGGTTCAATCCCTAGTAACACAAAGCAAAAACAAAATAAATGCAGACTCTGTATATGTGTGTGCACATGCAAGTGTGTGTGCATGTAGCTCCACATGTGACAGAAACCATATCAGTTGAAACATTTTGCAGAGAATGTAATAGTATTTATGCACAGCCTAGGAGATTTGATTCTTGGGATTATCTGCATCATGTTACAATAAAATGATATTTGATAAAAATACACTTGTTTCAGAGAGACTGAGGATGAAGCACTTTAATGTTAAAGCACGGCACTGCATTTTTTAAAAACATACAAGCAAGATTTTTAAATTTTAATATTACCTGTTTTCACACAGGGGTTGGTGTGGACAATGATGGAATTCTGGTTCTGGGTGCTACAAACATACCCTGGGTTCTGGATTCTGCCATTAGGCGGAGGTATAATGATACAGTAAATATATTATTTCTAACTACCTATGTAGCTAGTAAATGGTAATTCTCTTTCTCTCTAGTGAGGAGGCATTCTGATAAATTTCCATAAATTTTTTTAATGTACCCTCACTCTGTTGCCCCCCTGCCTTGAGGGAAGCGAGATGGCCATTTGCTCATTTGTTTGCCTGGTATATTGAAAATACAAGATCGCTATATACTGAAATCTTTCACATTGGAAAATGTACTAGCCTTATGCTTACATTTATGTATTTATTTATTTAATTTATTAATATGATCTCGCTATGCAGTTGAGGCTGGCCTTGAGCTCACTGGGATTAATTTTGGTTAAGCAGAGCAAAGCATTGGTACTTCTAGAATTTATAAATAGTCTCATATTTCATTGAATACCCCTCATATAAAGTTTTTTAGATGACTACGTAAGTCAAAGTAGGATAAGACAAATTTTTAGCAAAACATTTTACATCTGATTTTTCAATTTGCACATAAAATGCCAGTTATACCTATAGGTATGTAGACTCTACTTTTCCCTGCTTCACAGTTCCCTACTTCATTATTTTATTTTGTATTTTAAAAGGCATCAGGTTTTGCCACTTTTACCTATTGATTTGCCAACATGCTTGATTATCACTTGGGACTAAGGAAATGTGTAATTTTGAAAAATAGCCTATTCCAAGGCTGGGAATTTAGCTCAGCAGCATAAGCACCGTCTGGCAAGCTCCAGGAAGCAAGTTCGATCTTTGGTACCAAAAAAAAAGCAAGAAAATATAGCATATTCCAAACTTACCTCTGCTGGTAATACAAACTTTCCAAATCCCACTGCCACAGAAAATTACCTTGAGAAATGTCTTCAGAGATCACTCAAATTGTCCCTGTTTCCTATCTCCAGATACTGAAATTTTAAGAAAACAAGCACAATTATTAATTAAGCAGATTATTTATTATTTATGATATAGGCTTCTGAATGAATTTATTTATAACAAAGAGGACCCTATTATGTGTAATATGTTAAGATTTTGAATGATTTCAGTATTTTGAATTTAGAGATTGTCATCTGTACTCTATTAGTAATCATTAATCTCTTGATTCAGAGCTCAGAGTACGATTTGTGAAAAACTAATCCTACAGGATATATTTTTATGTGGAGAATATGGATATACAGACACTATAATAAAAAATTATTTAAAAAAAAACACTAAACCACCCCAAACAAGTTTTCTTGCAAAGTTTTGTTTTTGTTTGTGTATTCTGGATATCCTCTTTATTTAATCTAAATGTTCGTGGTTAACTCTGTACAGTGCTAAACCTAGTATCATTGAGAATATCCAAATAGCTTCTATTAGTATCTACTACTATTCTACTTTGACTCTATTTTCTTAAAAATATTTAATGTTTAGTTAAAATTAAATACATATTTCAATATCCTTCATACAACTTTTCTTTGAAGATTTGAGAAGCGAATCTACATTCCTTTGCCTGAAGCCCATGCCCGAGCAGCAATGTTTAAACTACACTTGGGAACCACTCAGAACAGTTTGACAGACACAGACTTCAGAGAACTTGGGAAGAAAACTCATGGTTATTCAGGAGCAGATATAAGTATCATTGTTCGTGATGCACTTATGCAGCCTGTTAGAAAAGTACAATCGGCTACTCACTTCAAAAGGGTGAGTTTCTCTTTTCATCTGTTTTAAAATAAAATTTCAAGATCACCATTTGTTTGTCTTCAGTGAATTTGGAAGGATTTCAGTGTGGATTCAGTGTGATAATACACTATGTGGGTTATAATTGGTGTATTTCTGTTTCATTGAAATTTAGTTCTCTAATAGTTTATTAATAACCACTATTTGTAATCCTGACATGTTTTAAGTTTTTCTGTGAAATCATTTTTTATAATACTTTCATACTGCTTTAGTGTGAGAGTGGTTATAAGGCTGCTTCTGATGTAGCTAGAACAACCATGAGCAGAGTCATGAACAAAGTAATACTACATAGTATCTTTTAGATTATTTGCATTGCCTATCATTATGCTGTGTCCTACATCTTACAGTTTTATTTACTTCTCACAAAATAAAGAGGTACATGTAGCTATCTGCCTGTTGGTAGTAAATCTGAGACCTGATGCCAACAAGTTTGCCAAAGTATGTTGTCTAGAATGGGGCAGAATGTGATTTTTCCTTTAAAGTGTATTTAAAAATCTGAAAGTGCAAGCTTTCTGCTATTGTGCCTTTCCTGTATAGTGGTTAGCCTGCTGAATTGAGCATACAGTGGTAGAGTACACTACTGTAAAATACTATGTGTTCTTGAGTTACCTAAGTAACACTGGATCAGCCTTCCTACTTGAAGATAGCACTATCCAATATTTCTCAGAGTAACACATGTGTAAATCCTCAGTAAATTTAATCCCACAATGTATGGCAAGACCAGTATATCATGACTAAGATCCTGGTCATGATACACATACCAAAATAAAATAAACTTTCTGAAAAAGTTAGGAGCTTGAACTAAACCTTTCAAATTCATGAAACTAGATACCTCAACTTACCTCCTATATCTTCTAAAGCAAATTAAGTTAGCTATTTACAACTTATTTCAATTTCTAAAATGGGAATGGCACTACTTCAAGTACTATTACAAGAATGATGTGAAATAATATTCTTAAACTCATCTTGGTACCTGATTAATACTCATCTACCCCTTTTCAGTCATTTCTTTACTGAGAGGAATATTTAACAGTAGAGTTTTAAATCAACAACAGTAGTAGACATCTCTATGAATCCATCCTTTTTTTAAGGCTAATTATTCCAACTAGCAAAACCATATTTGTTCATTTATTTAATTTGTCAAAGGTCTAAATAATAGAGGTCCAGCAGAAGATCAGAATGTATAACAGTCAAAAAGACTCAAATCTCTGACTTTGTGCCACTGAAATTTTGGAGAAAGACCAAAAAAACAACAAAATGCACATAATATATAATAAGTTAAACAGAGAATATTAACTTTTCTTTTTTGGGGGGGGGTAACCAGGAGTCAAACCCTAGGTTTGCTTTGCCACGCTGGCACTATACAACAGAGCTGCATCCCTGGCCCCTGAACTGAGAATGTTTGTTGTATACCCTCACTGATTCTGAGATTAAAGTTTGTGTCTATTTTTTATTTCAAAGATTATGTCCATTTACAAATTAGAGGAAAAAAAAGTATAGTTACATACTCTTCTTCTGTTTAAAAAAAAACAACTCACTTCCCTCCATGGTCATATAAATCATTAATTATAGGAATTGCAAAATAGAGAAAAGCATCAAGGAAAAAAAATCTGTCAAAATCTCTCCCATGATGCAGAAATAACTACTTTTCGTTGTATATTTTTTTTCTAATTTTTGTTATTTAAAGAAAAAAAAAGAAAATTAGGGACTGGGGATTTAGCTCAGTGGCATAAACACTTGCTTTGCAAGTGCGTAGTCATGAGTTTGATCCCCAGTACGAAAGAAGAAAGAAAGAAAGAAAGAAAGATAGATTAAAATAAAAACAAAAGAGAAAAAAGTAGAATAATACAGAATTTTTTAAAAATTAACATCCTAAAATCGCTAGTTCATAAATTACATATTGTCATCTTAACAATAGTTGTTAAAGTTACAAAATCAAAGCATAAAAAGTGGCTAGACACTCAAAACACTGACAGTGCAAACCCTTTTGTTCAGTGATCCAACAGAAATTTAGTAATATGGTCATCTATCTTACACTATACGTACCATTATATCCTTTAGAGCACTTTCCTTCCCTTTCACTTTTATAGTATCTGTTGTACTTTTTGGATCCCATTATTCTGTCAGTTGTTATTTTTTACATTAGAGAGACAATGTGATATTTATTAACGTGAGTCTTGTTTATTTCACTAATGAGGATATTCTCAAGATGCCTCCATTTACCTATAAAGGCCTCAAGATCATCCTTTTTATAGCTGAATAGTATTCCATTGTATAAAAATACCACGTTTTTTTCATCCACTCTGTGGTCGATGGGCATTTTGATTGTTTCCAAGATTTAGTTATCACAAACTGTGCTGTTGTGTTGTATATTTTTTAGAAGTAAACATTTTAACACAATATAAAACATATACTTCCAGAATCCCTGAAAATGGCCTAAATTTTAATGTTTATTTAATTTGCTCAAATTAATATTTTAAATGACTACTACAGGTTCGTGGACCTTCCCGAGCTGACCCCAGCAACATTGTGGATGATCTGCTGACACCCTGCTCTCCAGGGGAAGTTGGTGCCATTGAAATGACATGGATGGATGTCCCTGGAGATAAACTTTTGGAACCAGTTGTTTCCATGGTTTGAAAATTTTCTTTAAGAAATACTTTAAAAATATTCCACGTTGTAATTTGTCAAACAAAAATAAAGTTTTTTACTTAAGAAAGAAGTGGTGAGCCGATGGCCCACATCCCCACAGCTAGCTATTTGTTATCATTGAAAGTTTTAAAAGCTTTGCCATCACCATGTTAAGATTAGCTGGAAAATTTAGTATGATCAGCAATGCTTATTAAATACTTTGCACAGTGTATTAAAAGTTATAAAGATTAGTTGAATTTAAAATAGTTAACTTTAAAATATTTTCTGGGGCTGTGAGGCTGACTTATTTTTACTTATTTATTTTGGGATACTAGGGATGAAATCCAGGGCCTTTACACTGAGTTATAGCCAGACCTTTTAAAAAGATTTTTATTAAGAGACAGGGTCTTGGTAAGTTGCCCATGCTAGACTTGAACTTGTGATCAGCCTGCCTCAGCCTTTCAGAGTGAGGATTACAGATATGCATCTCTGTATTTTGCTGACTTTATAAGATATATAGTTGGAATATTATCCCCCCAAAATACTCTCTTTTTTTGTCTTTTTCCTTTTTATCGGTACCGGGAATCAAACTCACGACTGCCTGCTTGCAACGCAGGTGCTTTATGCCGCTGAGCTAAACCTCCAGCCCCCCACCCCAAATACTCTTACTTGTAAATTATTGACAGAACTTAACTAAAGCATAAAAATCTTTCCCCTAAATTTTACATTTTTAAAAATAGCCGTAAATATTACTCCTGGTGTGATAGTGTTCATAAATAATATTTTCCCATTTAATTTAAGGTTTCATAAGAAGTTTGAAAAATACTTGTCTTTAAAATTTTTGGTTGAAATTTTTAACTTTCTTTTAAAAAAAATTTACCTGGCTTTAAACAGAATTTTTAATAAAAAACACATTTCTGTAGATTGTAATAAAGGAATTAATTTGAAGGATTTTATTATGTGGAAAATACATTTTTTAAAAGAACTTAGATTGAAGAATTATTTATTATGTTTATTTTCTTGATTAAACTTTGAGTTTTCAAACTTTCTTTAGCTACAGATTTTCAAAAGTTTTATGGTAGATTTAACAACTTTCAGAGAAGAAACTTATATATGTATATACATAGATGTGTACATATATGTGAACAGGTATATTTAGATGTTCAGGTACACATCTCTGTATGGCACACTGCATATGTTCGTATTCATTTGGGTTAAAGTTAGTAATGGCAGTGATAACAATGCAATGATTTTTATTTTATAAATTCCATTTTTAATACCCCCTCTCTCCTTTTCCCTGACAGTCGGATATGTTGCGGTCACTGTCTAGCACAAAACCCACAGTCAATGAACACGACTTACTGAAATTAAAGAAGTTTACAGAAGATTTTGGCCAAGAAGGCTAAACCAAAGACAACAGGAAAGGTGTTTGTATTCCTTTCACAGATATTTATGCCTTTCTTGGATGGCATTCAGATTATTTCCAGTAAAACTCTTATCACACAGAGAAAAATACATCTGTTTCCAGAGTTTCTTTAAGTTTCATACTATACTTTGCCTCTATCACAATACTTGTTTGCTGCTGATAACAAAAATTGTAAAATAATGGGTTATAACGAAATGGGCAGAATGTGAATGGCATAAAAAATAGAAATTACCCAGTGAAAAGAGTATTAGACATTGACCTACAAATACTTAAAGAGTTTTTATGACTGGTGGTCTTTGCAGTCTTTTATCTTTTTTTCCCAAAATGAAATAGGGCTTTATATTTTAAAATAACTATAGACATTCTTAATGTGAAATTTATTTTGTTTATTAAAAAGTTTAAAATGATAGAATCTTTATCTCAGGGATGGGCAATAAAACAAAGAGCACTGCTGTGATTGGTTTGAATTATGTTATAGCCAGTGCTTTTACTGATTTTTAATAAGTTGACTTTTTTTTCCTATGTAACAGTTTCTTTAAAGGCAGCAAGCTTTCATACTTAACTGAATGAATTTTCCACTGTGCAGTCTCAAGAAAGACTTTCTATATTAGGAATTGTCTTTACCTTGAAATAGAAAATTATCTATTTCAATGTCTTTTTGTAAAGATTGACCAAAACAGGTGATGCATAAGTATGAATTTTTAAAGTAACTATCATGAAATACTGTAATGGGAACCTTTGCTAATAAGAAAATGGCCTCCCTTTGGATAATGGGACGTTCCCTGTGTGTTGAGGGGGTATGTGTGTACATATATATACATATATATATATATATATATAAATTTGTTTTTAATAGAGGATAGCAAAGGTCTTGACTTTCTCCTTTTAAGTTCAGGGAATTTTGTCCTGGTCACATATATGTGATAAATGTAATACTTTATGAAGCTTTAGAAATCAACTGATGTCTCATTAAATAATAAAATATAAACATGAATTGTTATTTTAACTTCTTCAAATAAATAATCTGAGAATGTGTGTTACACATTTGAGCATCAACACTAAATTGTGCCTTGTCCATTTGCATTGGCTAAACATGCAAAAGATTAAGTTATCTAGAATGAGGTGAAATCCTTGATTACTAGAAAATTCTACCTTACCAGATATATCCAGTAACTCACATTTTAAAGTATATTTGCACATTTTACATATTATGCTGTATGATTGCCTTTGGATTTTCTGTACAGATTGTTTTGTTGATAATAAATGAAAATCACCGGCTTGAAATATATGTGAAGTAAATTGGTGTAACCTACTATTGGCTATGATCTGTGTATGCTTCTTTATTTTTATGCCTTCTGTTTAGGAGAGAATATTATCTAAATTAACTACAAAGACATAATTTAAAATTAGCATGACTATGTACATGAAATTTCTGTTATTAGACACTTTTTTTGTTTGGGGGTGTTTTTTTTTTGTTGTTTTATTGGTGAGCCTTGGAAATTAACTTGACATACCAATACTGAATTCTTTATGGATATTTGTATATCTTATCTGTTTATCAGCCTCAGAACTATATTATATAGTATCACAAATTAGGAGAAATAAGTAAAATTATATGTAATTGAAAGCCAGAAATTTTTGTGAGTGCAGAATTTGTTTTTGTTTTTGTTTTTGTTTTTTAATTTTATTTAAGGAGAAAAAGAAAAAAAAGCAGAAAAAGGGTACAAGTTATACAGAATTTCAGAAAAAAGATAAACAGTAGGAAATCACTAGTTAATGGATTACATATTGTCATCTTAGAAATATTCAATTTACAAAATTAGAGCATATAAAGTAGACATTCAGACAGTGAGACTGCAAACAGTTCTGTTCAATGATCCAACAAAACTCAGTAATATCATTGTCTATCTTACACACTTAAATATACATGCAGTTATATCGTTTAGAGCACTTTCTTTTCCTCTCTTTTGTACAATGACTATTACACATTTTGGGTTTTATTGCTCCCACAGTTCTTATTACTATTTTTGGAAGAGAGTAAAACCAAATGTGACATAACAGAACAGAGTCAGTTAAATTAAAAGGGTGGATATAATAGATAATGTAAAAACATAATACAAGGTGATCAACAATGGTTACCATAATGCTTCCTCCTATCTCAAAGCCTATGTCATCAGTTATAATAAAATTGAACAAAACAGTAAAGAATGAAACCAACAAAACCAAAACATTGGAGACTTTACAGGTCTTCAAAAGTAGATAATAGTCAACCAGAATGGGCATCATAATGAATCCCACTATCTTCACAGCTGTTGCCTAAACTTTCAAACCGGGTACTATCAAGCAAAACAAAATAGAAGAAACATCAGTCAAAACAAGATGGTGAGAGCAATACAGGGCTTCAAATCAAGTTAATAGAAAATCAAAGTATTACTATAATATATCCTGCTATTTTTTTTATTTTTCCCTTAATTAAAAGGATAAAAATAAAAAAGTAAATAATAAAATGGAGATTGAGATAAAAGAGAGCATAACAACAAAACAGCACAGATCAAAACATAACCATTTAAGCAGAATAGTGTTTCACCACAAGATAATCCTGACATAAAAGTAGTTATCATATTGTCTGTTTCCTTGAAATCTTTGAGTATAACTTCGTATACTGTAGGATCAAATATATCAAAACAATGTAAAACCATTTAAGAGAATGACAGTATTACAGGGTATTTAGAATCTAACAGAAAATGAACAATGGTTTCTGTATAATCTCCTTGTCTATAAAAGTTTGTTTATACTATCACATATAATAAAATCCAGTAAGATACAACATGTTAAGAGCTATGGAGACAGAAGAACAAAAGCTTGATGGGACTTCAAAACAAGATGATACTAAATCAGCATTACCAATTATGACGTCGTTTTCTCCAAAATAGCTGTTCCTATCATCCAATTTTCTCTGCCTCATTTCTGTTGAGCTCTTTTTCTGTCATTAGTTGTCAGTTTGTCTTCTTCATTTTGTTTTCTGCTCCATTCATTGTGGCCTCCCTGCCACTATTTCTGGATTCTTAGTATTTTTCTTTTTTAAGAATATTCCTGCAGTATTCTCTGTAGAGTTGAATTGGTGGTTGCATATTCCCCTAGTTCCTCTTTATCCTGAAAGCACCTTGTTTTTCCATCAATTTCCAGGGATAGTTGTGCAGGATATATCAATCTTGGCTGGAGGTTATTATCTTTCAAAGCTTGAATTATTTCCCCCCACGCTCTTCGTGATTTGATGGTTTGTGCCGAGAAGTCTGCTGTAATTCTGATGGGTGTTCCCTTGTAAGTGATCTGTTTCTTGTCTCTGACGGCTTTTAATATTCTGTTCTTATATTGGACTTCTGGTATTTTGATTATTATATGCCTGGGTGTAGCTCTGTTTGGGTTGTAGGTGGCTGGGGTCCTGTATGCTTCATACATCTGAGTATCTTTACCTTTTGCTAAATTAGGAAAATTCTCCTGGATTATTTCTGCGAGTAGCTTTTGTAGTTCATTTGTTTGTGTCCCTACCTCTTCTTTTATGTTCTTAATTCTTAAGTTATAGATTCTCTTATCATCTTCTAGTCTTTGTATTATTGCTGTTTGTTTCTTTGTTATTTTTAAGAAGTTTTTCATTTCATACTCCCATATTACAAATCTGCCCTCCAGTTCAGATAATCTATCCTTAGTTTCTTTCAAGCTGTTATGCCAGTTTTTGATAGCGTTTTTAGTTTCCTGGTAATCTCTTTGAATCTGCTTCACATATTCTATGTTTTCTCCATCAAACAATTCTCCCCTTTTTCTGTTCTTCCATTCCACCATCTGCTTTTTCTTGGGTGGTGCTTAGCATTTCTCTATCTGCTTACGTCTTGCTTCAGGTCATTAATAACTTCATTCCTGAACTCATCTATGAGGCTCTGGAGATAGCGTTTTATGACTATTGGTGCTGTGTCTGCTATTGCCTCTTTCTCAGGATTGGGGGCCGAGGAGCCTTTCTTGTTGCTCCCTCTTCCCATATTCTTTGTTCCTTATATATGCAAGCGTGTATAGGAGGCCCAGCTTCCTTCCCTGTTGGCCACAGTCTGATTGATTTGCACTGGCTAGATGTTCCCGCCCACCGCAGTGCACCAGGGAGTTATGGACCAGGCAGCCTATGCTGGGCCCGCCCCTCCAGGTCAACCTACCTAAGGCTTTACCGCTAGGATGCACCTCTAGGCGCTGGGACCTGGGTTGTGCTAGCCTACTGGGTCTCAGCCAGCAGCATCATGTAGGCTAGGCACTGCTCACCAATCCCGCTTGAGAGGGGGATATGTGACTGAAGTCCCTACAGCGCTCTGCCCGGTCCCAGAATGTCCTCTGTTGGAGCTTCCTAGACCGTGAAAGAGTCCCAGTTTCCCTCACTCACCACAGGTCGATGCATGGCTCCCTGCCTCTCTAGCTCTCAACTCCATTCACCGATTCCCGTTCTCAGAGCTTTCGCATGTCTCTCGCCCTGCAGCGGCGGCGGCAGGAAGCCCAAATCTCGGCTTCCATGCTGAGGCTTTATCTGTTCCTGTTATAGCACCAGGATTGCATTCCCAGTTGGTTTCTCTCAGCTGAGTTTGTTCTTGGGTCAGCAGGTTATATCTCCTCTTGCTTAGGATTCCTCACTCCGCACCATTCCTGGATTCTAAGCTGGGTCTCTCAGAGAGTCTCTATAGCTGCTGCTATCTGTCCGCCATGTTCTCCTGGAAGTCCATGAGTACAGAATTTGAAGAAATATTTAATGTGATTTAATATGTAAGCATAGTATCAATACTAAGTGTATATTTCATCATACTTCTTAATATGTGCTTTGAGAGCTATGTGTCACTATCCATATCACTTTTAGCTATAGCTTAACTTTCTAAATGTTTGTCTAAAATTATTTATGCCACCTAACAACTTTAGACTTGTTATAGAACGGTATGGTAACGTATGCTTGGTAGGCCATTTCCACATATTCTATATGGACAGAAACTCACAGGAGCCTGAATGTACCTGCTTTCTCTGGTTCTTAACCATTACAGAATTTTGGGTAGATATGTCCTTTTTTAAAAATTAACTTATTGATAGGTTTTAAACACATAATAATCCACATTCATCATAGAGAATTTGTACCCCCATCTTGATTCTGCTTTCCCCCCACCCGCTCCCCTCTTGTCCCTTCAACATCTATTTACAAAAGCTTTTTTCCACTTTTCCTTCCTTTTTTTTTCCATTCCTCGCGCCCTCCGCCTCTCCCTCTTATTTGAACATTTTCTTCCTATTTCCTGATATCTGTTAAACATTTTGATATTTATTTTGTTTAGATATTTTCTGAGCAAGCAAGAGACCTTGGTAGTTGAGCATTTCTGAACTCTGCCATGCCATGCATATCTAAGAGCGTTTTGCCTCAGTCTGAGTAATATAAGGAACTCTATTAAGACTGTCATAGAGAATTCTGAGTGTGCTGTCCACTATAGACAGAAAAACAGGATGAGTGTATTTTAGTAGTAATATTAGAGAAGCACAATGTTATAGGAACTTTTCTCGTGTTGCTGAGACAAAATGCCTTGATACCCAAAATTACAGAAAGGTTTGTTTAGCTCACAGTTTGGGGAGGTTTTAGTCCATAATCAGCTGGCTTCAAGGTAAGGGGGCATGGCAAGGGGGAAACAGTTGATGGCAACAGAAGACGGCAAAAGCATTAGGAGCAAAAAGGAGAAGAGCAAGTCTCTTTTCCTCATATTGTATGTGAGCAACCCTAAGGCAGGTGTAGCACACACATCCCCAATTCCAGCCTTGACAAAGATCAAATCACAAACTCTAAATTCAGCTGCCTCTGAAACAGCACATCCTCTATGGCTGCATGAGGCTTTGGGGGGACATCCAGATACAAACCATAACACACAATTTAGTAGCTTTCATAAAGTGGAGGAAACAGGCCTAGCCACCCAACATTTGTGCCATGGGTTGCCAGTGAAGCCACACAGCATGCCCAGTGCTAACAGTGATTGGATCCCAATTCACAGGTGGCACATGTCTTTCCTTCCTCCTCCTTTTATATGTATGTCCTGTAATGCAATGTCCTTTTGTCTTTCCTCTAGTCCGAATCAGTGTTTCCATTAAGATCTATCTGATGAACTTTTCCAGAATAAACCTCTTTTCCAGAATAAACCCATAAACTGTCCTCATTCTACTTTTGAATTCTTTAAGTTGCTATTAAGATGCTGTTACATTTCCAGCATGTTCATTGACTTAGTTGTAGCATTTAGAGTGTAAACTCTTCAAAATG